ATCACTTTCCGCCATGATGCATTTGCAGATTTCACCTGCAGCAGCATCCTTTGACCTAATGGGTCAAGTTGGTTATTAACCAATCACAATGCTGTGTTGTACTGACGCAATTCTTCGGAAATTCCCGAAGACTTTCCGGTAACGCAATGCGGAAGTGAATTATCGATGTCGAAGTACGATCTGTTGGAATTTATTTCAGCGAATAAACGACATGGTTTTTCCAAAAAACTAGTAACTAGCCATTTTTGAGAGGTAAACTGAATATGGCATGAAATATTTACCGCATTTTACTTGTATTAACAGGTCATTGTCGAAGCGTAGTTTACGCACAGTTACCGTGTTCTACGCATTCACAACATGTTCACAGCGGTCGATATCCACGCTGTATCATATAAAAACGATTACCAAGATTCGTTACGCAAGACCAAGTTTTAAATTAGTTGCATTTTGAAGGGGTGGGCGCTTTGCCGAATGTGACCCCAAATATAAAAATTGCGCAAAAGTGGGGGGTGGGCGCTTGCCCGGGCATGGCCGCTAACGCGGTTGAGTACGGTAATAGAACGTTAGCAGTTCCTTATTATACTGTAAATATATATATTCAACTGTAACCTGAATACACGTCAGCACCAAAAAAAAGAAGTTTACAGACAATATTGGCATTGACGTTAGAGATCTCGTGCCGAAATGTCTGTGTGAACAGTCGAGACTGAGACGGCACATACCAAAACAAGCAGCCTATCGGCTGAGATAGCTACGCTGTTAGCAATGCACATTACAATTAAAGAACAGAAGATATCATTAGAAAATGAACAATATGTACAGTATCAAAGCAATCAGACTTGCGGTTTTCAACAATATTGGAAAATATCACTTTTTACCAAAAATGACAAAAATATTCATCAAAATTAGAAAATTGAAGATATCGTCATGAAATGAACAAATCTGAGTTAGAACCACATGCAGTACCTATATATGTAATATCAAAGCAATTGGACTTGCGGTTTTTAACAAGAAGTTGAAAATATCACTTTTTACCAAAAATTACAAAAATATTCACCAAATATAGAGAATTAAAGATATCATTACAAAATGAACAAATCTGAGAGAGGTCCACATGTAGTACCTTCATATGTAATATCAAAGCAATTGGATCTGCGGTTTTCAACAAGAAGTCGTAAATATCACTTTTTACCAAAATTTGCAAAAATATTCATTAAAATTAGAGAATTAAAGATATCATCACGAAATGAACAAATCTAAAAAGGTCTACATGTAGTACCTATATATGTAGTATCAAAGCAATTGGACTTGCGGTTTTTAACAAGAAGTCGAAAATATCACTTTTTACCAAAAATGATAAAAATATTCACCAAAATTAGAGAAAGATATCATTACAAAATGAACAATTCTGAGAGAGGTTCACATGTAGTACCTATATATGTAATATCAAAGCAATTGCACTTGCGGTTTTTAACAAGAAGTCGAAAATATCACTTTTTACCAAAAATGACAAAAATATTCACCAAAATTAGAGAATTAAAGATATAATTACAAAATGAACAAATCTGAGAGAGGTCCACATGCAGTACCTATATATGTAATATCAAAGCAATTGGACTTGCGGTTTTTAACAAGAAGTTGAAAATATCACTTTTTACCAAAAATTACAAAAATATTCATTAAAATTAGAGAATTAAAGATATCATCACGAAATGAACAAATCTAAAAAGAGGTCCACATGTAGTACCTATATATGAACCAAATAACAGATCAACGAATGACTAAGTGCAACTGCTGTAATCCTTCTGCAAACATTTCAGCATGTGTCGTTGTCGTTAACTGTGCTCAAACTCCAAAATGCAGAGTAGCTAAGCCACTAAAATTATCTTCAACATAAACATTCGTTCACAATTCTGATTAAGTATTCCAATGCAAAATATTATAGTTTGGATGTATTTAAAGACTGAATTTCAGTCACTTTTAAAATTTAGTTCATGTTTGAGCTTAACGCCATGACAAAATTTCACCTTGCTCGTACATGTATAAAATGTTGTGTTCTTTGGTGGAAAGTCAGCGAATGAGCATTTTGGATCGTTGTGCACTGATGAAATGTTCATTAGCTACAACTTGTTTTTTGTTCATGGTATTATAATGCTGGACATTGTCTTTAATAAGCAAGCTAAATACTTAAAACTTGTGGATGCCAATCCAACTCACACACCAGACATTTGGGGTTAAAGACTTTCTGATCCAGATGTACCAGACATTTGGGGTAAAGACCTTCTGATCCGGATGTACCAGACATTTGGGGGTTAAAGACCTTCTGATCTGGATGTACCAGACATTTGGGGTTAAAGACCTTCTGATCTGGATGTACCAGACATTTGGGGTTAAAGACCTTCTGATCCGGATGTGCCATACATTTTGGGTTAAAGACCTTCTGATCCGGATGTACCAGACATTTGGGGTTAAAGACCTTCTGATCCAGATGTACCAGACATTTGGGGTAAAGACCTTCTGATCCGGATGTACAGCTATCTGTATATATATGCATTTAGCTGGATAATTCAGTGCAGCACGCAATTGTTATTTTGAGTCACAAACTCTACTTTGAATAACATAGTATCTACTCAGACATGCATGTATTCAATATTAGTTCCTTACTACATATTTATTTAGATTAAGTTCTATTGTGTGTTTTTTTACTGCTTTTACACACTGCATGTTTATTTTAAAGTTGTGTCTCATAGCTATTTTAACAGAGTAGTAGATTTCAATCTTTCAACAACTGGTACAACCTTTAACAGCCACATGTATATCAATGCAGGGAAATGACATCTGAAACAAAGTTTAACTCGAACAATAATGCTTACATAAGACGTGTTGATTGATTGGTATAAGGGGAAATAGCTAAGATGGTGCATATTAACAAAACATCTTGTGAACTGAAACCAAACAAGCATATTATGCAATAAACAAGGATTTCTCTTACCATGTGTGATATTAAGCTCATTTCCTATTGCTAGCAGCCAGACTTTGCCCCGAGCACCGGGAGGTACGCCATTCCACCATATATCACGTGTCTTCTTCGAATGTTTCCTGTTAACAGATAAAAGATGGATATAAATCAACAGCTGCGCCCATTTCAGGCTGTTTGTGAAAAAAGGGAAACAGGTTTATCCACACTCAAAACATGATTTGGGACTGAGATCAACATGTGCATAGATGACTAATGCAATATACTATTGTACTGGTATGCTTTTACAACTGTTTGGTCTGGTACATGAGATATCGTGCACAAGTGCAATGTCAAGTAAAATACTTAGGTTGAATGCTGGCTTAATGCTGTTATATTATGGTGAAACATTTCAGTCTCAGTTTTGTTCAAGCCTTTGGCTTATGCTTATTGACCCAGTGTTTTAACTGCATTATACCTTGAATATATGCATACGCTGTTTGAACCAATAATAACAGTGCATTAAAGGGGAACGATCGTTCCCTGCACACATGCAGGAATTGAGTCCCAAGCAATGATAACAACACACGCTAAAAACACAGAGGCTCATGGGTAGACACTTGTTTGTAAACAATGAGGCGGTATAGTCATTTGATGCATGCGCAGGTGACGACTCCCTCGCTTTGAAAAGTTGTAAAGTTGGCAAAATTGTGTTTGAATTCTTTAGCTTGTCAAGTACTATGTGTACAGTACTATAATAAATGCAAGTGTCTTGGCTTGTCAATAGCTGAACATTGCAAAGCATTTCTGTAGTTTCAGTTGTGATTAAGTTTTCAGCATCTCAGGGTATCAACAAGTCACTGAATCACACAAGGGATGTACGAAGATGGAGCAGTATCATAAAATCAATATACAATGTTTTCCATGATTAGTCTGAGATGCATATCAGTTGTTTTCATTATGCCCCCCCCAACCATTTATAAAATGTCTTGCTATTACATTCAAGCAAATTTCTAACATTAAGCATATGTACTTCCTGAATTTGAAACAGCAATGCATAATGGGATTTATTGTAGTCAAGACTAAATAACTTAGTTGCTAAATGGCGCAATACCTCAAGTATCGTTCTGTAACATTCAGATTTGATTTTTCGTTTAGTTACTCAGTATTAAGTATTCAGTACTGGCATTTTGCCAACAATACATTGTACAATTTCAAAACATGTTTTCACGGTATAACACGATAATTGGTACTGAATGCGCAAATATATGCAGTATTCCAAAATCTATGCAATGGCTTAGATTTCATTGCCTGAAGATTTGCATGAATTCAATATATCTACATTCTTTGTGTGAACTGCCTATAGAAGGAATAAATCACAATCAGGGGGGGGGGGGGTAATAATTTATCACAGTTATCTGTCAACACTCCTTGAACCGCTTTAAGTACATGTAGTCTTAAAACAGATGAGTAGCATCATATTTTTTTTTCTGATTAGCTGTCACAAACGAAAACCTTACTTTACTGTTTAGCCCTGCTGTCTTACAAGAACATTGTGGTAGCCAGGTCGAGCAACATACAGCCATAAGACTTCTTCTTGAAAACTGCCAACTCAATTTGATACCAAGGAACAAAGCAATTGATGGTAGCTTTTAAGAAGTTGGAAATATAACCCCCCCCCCCCCAGCCTCCTCTTTTAAAAAAAAAGAAAACTACTAATCAAATTTCAAATTGAAATCATATTACATTAAATTAAATACATAGCAGGGATACTGAATT